CTGTGAAATTTTGATGCTTAATTCTTTGGCACATTCCCTTTATATTCATCAACTTAATTGATTCTTTCTCTGCAGGTACCTTATATATGGCGCCATGCAAGATTGGAATTACATACATGCCGGCTGTTTTTAGTTAACATAAATGGCCTAATGCAACTTTAATTTCCGGTTTAAGTTTTCTGAATCATTCTGAGTTCACTTGTTTTGTGCTACTTGGAGTGTAATATGGAGTACCATTATAGAATTGTGCTTCCCAGTTAATATTACAGCTGAGATCTATCGCAGAACCAAAGCCACAGAATATGTTGCATTTTCTACCTGCTGGTTGGTTATTACAACAATTTTCATTATTGCTTATAGTAGATTCATTTGTAATTGAAGTAGGAGTGGGGGTGGGGTTGACCGTACCCATATCTCCATTGTTGCTCATCACTCATATTGCTACGTCATATAAAGAAGAGTATTATCTTTCTTGCCTCTTTGTACACAACTATACTTTGGAAGAAGCCAGCTATTGCCTTCTTCCAAGGCCGACTAAAAACTGGATACTTTTTTTTTTTTCAATATTTTTCTCTATAAGATATATTTTTTGGGAAGAAAGAAAAAAGGTGTGTGGTAACATGCATGTGATTAGCTGGTGCGTTTTAACACCAAATTGTTATTGTTAGTTTATGCAAATTAACTGATTTTATTTTTTGTATTTTCCCATTTTTTAAATTTAATTTTGTTATTTAATCTTCTAAATGTTATGCAATGTAAATTTTTTATGTAATATATAATTTTAATAACATATTATAATAATTATACTTTTATAGTTATCAATTAATTTAAATCTTGACATGTTGATAGTTTATTCATGTATTAATAGTAGATGTCTGTATAGTTATTTTGACTGAATACAATGAATCTTGTCATTGTTCAATTTGGTATCAGAGCCATGCCAAAGATCATGGGTTTGAATCTCAGCGCCACCCGATAAAAAAAAAGTGACTATGGTCCACGTGTTGCTTGGAGCCCAACAAAAGTAATCGGCACGCACACATGAGGGGGCGTGTTGAGCATATAACCATTAATGTGCAATCCCTCAAAGAAAAATAGTCAACTGAGCTGAAGTATGAGATGAAGTTTCAAAGACTATTTACAGTATGAGCTGAAGTATAAGATGAAGTTTCAAAAGACTATTTATAGTATGAGTTGAAGTATGAGATGAAGTCTCAAAGCTGAAGTATGAGATGATGTTTCAATCAAGGATTGAGATCTCACCACCAGTATGAGATCCATTTGAGAATTAATTCATGGGATTTAATTGGAGATGAAGTTCACATTAAATCAAGAGATCCCATTGGCTGAAAGAATTAATTCTGAGATGAAGTTTCAAAGTCAGTAGTGTATACTATGAGAAGAAGTATGAGCTCAAGATATAAGAGGAAACTGACTAGTCCAAAATTGTAGGGATTAGATTGGGGCAGATATTCAGAAGATAAAAGTCCCTGAAGGCATGGTCTACATCAGAATTATTTGATGTAGACATATGTCATTAGGAATAATTTCCAACAACGTTGAACTTCTATTGGCATCTTTCTTTGACTTGTTTGCCTGCTTACCCTTAATGCAGTCAATGCAAGTCTCAAAGTCAGTATAGTCTAGAGTAGAAAGTACTTCATCCTTTACCAACCTTTTAATACGCTCAATGGAGATGTGACCTAATCTCCGATGCCACAACATTGAGGATTTGTCGTTAATACTACACCGTTTGGTGCCGTTTTGAACATGTAAAGAATTATAAACTGAATCATTCTTTAAGTTAAGACGAAAGAGACCATCAGACAATGTACCAATACCAACACAAGTTGAATTACGAAATAACTTGAAATAATTGACATTAAATTCAAATGAATATACAAAGGGTACAAGTCTATAAACTGAAACTTAGTTCTTTTTTTTTTTTTTTTTTGAATGCAACTGAAACTTAGTTCAATTCCATGAAAAAGTAAGAACATAAAATGTCTTTTCTAACGTCAAAACAAAACCATTTTCCAAAACTAAACTGCAAACTCCGACAGCTTCTACTGGTGATGCAATCTTGTTTCCATAGAAGATATTACACTCAGTTCCCATCGGCTGTCTCAATTTTGTCATATCTTGCAAGGAGTTTGCAATGTGGATTGTTGAACCAGAGTCAACCCACCAAGAATTAGTATTAACTTCGGACATATTAGATTCGAAACAAACAAAAGAAGAGGGAACATACCCAAGCTCAGCCACAAGCCTTTGTTCCTCCATTAGTATTAACTTCGGACATATTAGGTTCTTTCAGTTGCTGTAATTTCTTATTCATTTGCAAGTTGAGAGTGGCTAGATGAGATATGTTCAGGAATGATGCTAATTGCATCTAACATCATCATTTACAGCAAAACATAGAACATGGAATCAAATTTCCCCTATACATTCAATCTGTTTAGTCCTTTTGTTACAATCGATCCTGAGCCGGCGACAATGGAGCCTGTGTGATGGCGACGATAGAGCGTGTGCGATTTTTACGATGGAGATAGTGAAGTATGGTGATGATGGTAGCTAAGGGGCTGATGAGAGCATGGAGTGATAGTGATTGAAAATTTTGGCATTGAAAATCATAGTTTTCGCTTCTCGAATTAATATTTATCAGAGGCAGAAATTATGAAAAATAAAAAACACGCAATTTAATTGCATTTGGTATACCGATATAGTGGATGGAAATATTTAATTAATTTTTTTTTAAATAAGACTATATGCGTGTGTTGTAAATGCACAACAACTGCATATAGTCTACGTATTTAAAAAAAACATATTTAAAGATGATATTTTAATTAAAAAATTGCAACGCATCACTTTAGGCGTTTGGTTATGTCACAATAGACGTAAATTTTCAGATTTTTATGGCCATTTTTCTACTAGTGACTTATCCATATTAGCAGGGAAGTTTAAGGGACTTTTGACACCATTTTTCTTCTTGCTGACATAGACTTGACAGAGTTAAAAGTCTATATTGGGATATACTTTACATAAAAGTCTATATTGCGATAATGCTTGTTAGAGTTAAAAGTCTATGTTGAGATAGACTTTGACAGGATAGAGGTCTGTATTGAGATAGACATAACAGACCTGAACACTAAAGGTATTCATAAGAAGTCAGAGAGTTTGACTTTCGTAGAACCTGCATTTTTGAGTTGGTGTGTGCATTAGAGTTCACGATTTATCTAAGCGGTGAGTTCAAGATTCATATCACTCTTGAGAAGAAAATTACTCAATGTCACTACGTGTCAGTTCAAGTTCTCAAACACTGACATTAAGATCAACTCGTTTGTATTGGTCAGACATTATTTCTTTCTAGCCTTCCACTTTAAAAGTGTGTGAGATTGTTGGAAATACATTCAGATAAGAATAGGTTTCCCATTTTTCATACGCATGTATGTGTTCGAAAATTCATTTCAGGGGAAAGAGCTACAATTTCATACCAGCTTTTACTTGTTAGTAATGGTCATCCAACCCATGTCCACACGTTCAAAGCTCTTCCCCTATTTTGTGTTTAATTTGTGGCTAAATGAAGGGAAGCTGTTATATTAAACACTATATAAGCAGTCTTCCCTTCCATTTTCAAAAGTGCAATTCGGTACAGAGCCTTTTCTCTCATATCCCTCTTATCTCCTTGAGTCTGAACAATAGTGAAGTTCGTCTATGTTTAAGCTGGTGCAAGTTTAGCGTGGTTATTTTGTGTTGCTTGTCAAAATCGTACCGGTTTACATTGACTGCACCGTCGCCAATCAAATAACGCTTTAAGGTAGTGTTATATAACATGGCACAGATTCCCTTACAGTCATCACCCCTTTTTGTCATTGTTTCCCAAATGGTTGGCAGCTCCGCGTTGATATTGCTTAAATTTCCCAACATCCATGGAATTTTCTTTGTGACCTTGAAGGTGTATTGTGTATTGTCGCCACAAACCGAAACCTTCGCCTTCAAAAAATCATTTTATATGGTATTCGACATGAGTTTCAAAGGAAGTAGCACCATGAAAATCTCCGCGTGTACAATCTACAAGGTGTTTCCAAATTGTCTGTCTAGTTTTAGGGTTGAGAATAATCGACCAATAGTTGGCGAAGTGAAAGATGTGGACGAGGTACACAAATGGATAAAAATTATTCTCCAGATGACCGTCGCGCGGTATTTTTTTTCCTTTGGGTTTAAAAGGTCAATAATAAATCCAAGTCAGCAAAGTTAATTTTATATAAATTCCATGTCAGCATTGTAGAAGGATTACCTAGGGGAAATTTGAAGAAAATGCAAAGTGAACAAAATTTTTATATGTAAAATGTTAATTAGATCTTATTTTGGTCCAAGATGTTAATTGAATAGTCCTTGATAGTAGATGGATCTATTTTCCCCTTCTGGATTATAATTTTAATACTTTTTTATGTAGACAAGAAGAAGAAGAAGAAAATTACCACATCAATTCATTAGAGATTTGTTAAGCTTTATTATAATCTGTACGACTAATAAAAATAAATCATAATTTTGCAACTTCCTGCCGAAGCTATCTCCCAACTATTACTATATAAAATCTAAAAATTATCATGGTATATAATACGTCAATAAATGATATATATATATATATATATATATATATATATATATATATATATATATATATATATATATATACACACACACACACACACATATATATATATATATATATATATATATATATATATATATATATATATGTGTGTGTGTGTGTGTGTGTGTGTGTGTGTGTGTGTGTGTGTATGTATATATGTATATATATATATATATATATACACATACATATATATATCTATAGTACCACGCGCCTGGGTTCGAAACTTGATGTTTACACGTATGACAGTGTGCCATTGTGTATTAAATTGTGTGCATGATACTAATTTCTCGTATGCCCATAATCTAATTTCTTGTGTGCCCATGATTTAATGTAATGAGTGGCTGGAATAGCTCAGTTGGTTAGAGTGTGTGGCTGTTAACCACAACAACAAGGTCGGAGGTTCAAGCCCTCCTTCTAGCGAGAATGGGTTTCGAAAATCATCTCAATATAAATACTTGCTAACTTGACCAATTAACTCAAGATGAGTTCAACATCATGTTATAGAATGGAAAGTACTATATTTTTATAAATAAGATTTTCGAAACACTTTATATTGAAAAAAAAATTTGATAAATTTTCTATTAGAATGACTACATATTATTGCTCATTTCTTAATGTGACAATTTTAAAAATGAAAATACTACGAATAAGTGTAATTTATAAATTTTGATGATGTTCTTAAAATGTAATTTGAAATTAGATTTTCCAAGAGAGATAACACAATAGAGTTTTAAAGTTTGTGTTATTGAAAAGTTGAACACAATAGAGTCAAAGACTAAACCAGGAAACTTGTACAAACCTATAACATTTCAAGATGAAGCGGTTACTCCTTTTATCATTTCTCAATTTTAAACATAATTCGATTATGCATGTTTTAGGATTATGAATATTTGTTATATTATATTTTGTAATAATTATTGACATCTATTTTGAAATATAATTATAGGGCAACAAAGTTCAAGGAATGACTTATCAGAATGATATTGAACTGCTTGATGAAAAGTTCAAGTTATACTCCACATATATTATCTCTAATGCATTAGTCGCTTGTGCTAATGAATTTTTCAATGTCCCAGATGAGAGATATAGGTTTGTTTAGTCAATTAATAGGAAAACTTTTATACAAGATGTCGATGATGATGAACAATTGGATTTGCAACATTCTTCTGACATAGATACAAGACCATTTGGACAATTGTATGCCTACAAATCTAAAAGACAAGCCATCAGTGAGTTTACATTCTTTACATGTGTTTTTTTATTCGTGAACAATTATTTATATTTTGTCAATCTAATGGTTATTATTTTTTGTAGATATCATTGGAATTGTGATTTCTAAACTACCAAGAGAAATTATTACTAATAAGACGGGACAACAAAAAGCTAATGATTTTTTAATGGTTGATGAAGAGTATGTTTATTGAATTTATTTAACTTTGGAAGTGTTTAATTGTCTATTATAGTTTGGAAGGAAGCATGATTAATTTTACACTTTTTTTTTCTTATGTTTTCTTGGATTGTGTATGAACAAATAAAATATTATTGTCAACTAAGCTTGCCATGATCTGTTTATAAATTCCTTATTAATTTCTTTAATTATTATACTGTGAAGTGGTATGAATGTATAAGTAATTTATGTAAATTTTAATTTAAATTTTGAAAAGAAAACTCAATTCATTAAATCACTTGCTAGAACGCTTAAATGAAACTAGGGGCGGTGTCAAACCATTCCTCGCAACCTGACACTGAAAAGGCCTCCCTAGCTAAATTATGGGCGACACCATTCGCAGATCGCGCAAAGCGCAAGGCGATCTTAAACTATTAGGCACAAATTTTCGCCCAAAGCGCGTAGAAAAAACTAGTTAAACTAAAAAATGGAACTTATAATATAATTTTCGGACATTAGATGAAACTTCATCTTGTTATCTTAAATGGTAAAAGATCATAATAAAATTGATCGGGATAAATCAAGAAGATCAATACAATGTCATGAGTGAAGAGAGAGTTTTTGTTAATTTTTTTAACCATTTTTAATAATTTAAATAATAATAACGACATTGATGAAAAATAATATTTTTTAATGTGATGTGAGATATGGATTCACTTTTAAAAGTGCATTTAAATTACATTACATGATGTAGAAAAAATAATAAAAGAATTAGTAATTTGATGATTTGGAGCTAGAAGCCTGCTTGAAAGGTTTCTTCAAATTTCAGTATGTAACACAAACTCCATCAGATTAATTACTGTTAGGAATATAGCGGAAGAATGCGGAAGCGAAGAATCGGAAATGGAGAATTATAGAAGTTAAATAATAGAAATAGGGAAAATATATATAATATATATATATATATATATATATATATATATATATATATATATATATATATATATATATATATATATATATATATATATATATATATATATATATATATATATATATATATATATATATTATATATATATATATATATATATATATATATATATATATATATATATATATATATATATATATATATATATATATATATATATATATATATATATATATATATATATATATATATATATATAGAGGCGAGTTCAGGTGCGGCAGTGTCTTACGGTGCGGCGATTTCTTACGGTGCGGCAACACCAATAGTTCAACAAATATGCACCATCAACGTTAGGAAAATACACCACACAAAACAGAGTAAACAGAGCCCTGCATCACCAAACACACACCATTAGGTGTGAGTAAAAACACCTTCGGAAATACACCATTGGGGGTGGTGAGTTATATGGTGTATTTTTTTTGAGTTTGTTGTGTATTTTGTGATGTTTTATTGCATTTCATTGTGGTGTGTTTTTATTACACTGTTGGTGCATATTGTTAACACTGTTGGTGTATTCTGGAATTTCGACGCACCGCCGCACGGTAAGACCCCGCCGCATATGAGCGCTCATATATATATATATATATATATATATATATATATATATATATATATATATATATATATATATATATATATATATATATAGATTAACAATCGTATAGGAACTCATTATTAGATGGGAACATGAGAACTAATCTAAGCCGTTCATTTAAACCAATCTAAGGTGTATGTTTTTTTTTTTTTTTTTTATTAGAGATTATTTTTTACAGTAGATTGGGTGTTATTTGGGCGTCCAGGGGTAGTTTGGTCAGTGCAGGTGCGCGCGTATAGTTAATTCCCTATATTTGTGCTGAGTTTTCGCTCCGGACTCTGAAGCTCTCCTCATACTCGTTGGACTGCTTCATACGCTCGTAGGTTGTTTTGGAGAAGCTTACCGTACGTCGTCTTGCTCGATCGGAGTCCCCAACATCGTCCCTGTGATCGGAGCTTCCGCTGAGATGGCCGGCACCGAAGGTCGGAACCCTAAGCGCCCACGGCGGTCGACCGCTACTCCAGGTTGGTTTTCTCCCCTTTTTTTCTTCTCCAAGTTCGAATCTTGAAATTTTGTGCTTTGATTTCTAATTGCTTGAGCCTTGGCTGCCTTGAGTGTCGAAGGAGTCTGAAACTATGACAATTGCTTGGTTTCTGAGTTGATTTTTTTTTCTAACCTTGATTGAGTTGAAGCTTGAACATTGCATTTGAGTTATTTGGCAAGGAAATTTTTGTTTTGTTTAGTTTTGTTGTTTTTTTTTTTTTCCCCCATATTGAAATACTAGTGCAAGCACTGGTATTTGAATTTTTCCAGTGCTTGCACTGGAATTGGAATGAAATTTTAGTGCAGCACTGGAATGATTTTCCAGAATTCCAGTGCAGCACTGAAATTTCATTCCAGTTCAACACTGTTTTTTTTTTTTTTTTTTTTTTTTTTTTTTTTCTTTGGATTCTTGAGCCTTTTGTGTGGTTTTTTTTTTCTTATATATGAGTTGTGTAATTGTTTGATTTGTTGGGTAATTCACGTCGTCAGTGGTTGATGCTAGTGTGGTTTTTTTTTTTAGTTTGATTTTGGTGTTTTTTTTACTGTGCTAGCCTAGACTACAGCCTTCAAGATAACTAAATCTATCAACAAGCAAAGATAGAAAGATTTGAACTTAGCAGTCACCATCTACTGTTTATTGTATATTTTGATAGTCATAGTCGGTAATATGCTGTATTTATCATTTTTTTTTGTCTCAATTATATTTCTGTTACTTAAAGTTAGTATTAGAACCTTCAATTCTATCTTGTGAAACCTTTGAAAAATTATTAGCATTTACAATCTAAGATCTAAGATACTTAAAAAGATTAAAGCCTGTGTTGGAACGACTCAAAATTTCCAACACAAGCATCATACAATGATTAATCAAAATGCTATGCTGAAATAAATGAAGATATAGAATGATTTTTGTGTGCGTGGGCTTGTTTGTGTATTCGTTGTGTGCTGGCAGGGTGGGTTTTATTGTTTTTTTTAGGGTGTGTATTTTAGTTCTACTATGTGTGGCCTTGTGGTGTTTTTAATTTATAGGCTATAGACCACCATGGATAGACCGTAAACAACCTATGAATTAAAGATGCTGCCATTGTTCCACTGTAGGAAAACAACATACAGTATAAGGGGAAAATAGTCTGAAACAGCTGGCTTTGGTCCCCTTTTATTTGGTATATGGTGGGTGCACATTTGCTCGTTTGTTTGTGCCATCTTGGTTTAGTGGGTTTAGTTGATTAGTTTCTGGCTGCTGCATTTTTTATTTCCTTATAATTTTTTTTGATATGGCCTCCGCGTTTCTAATTGCATGATTTTTTGTTCATTTGGCGTTTTATAAGCGGTCTTTGGTTGTTATGGTGGTTTGTTTCGTATGTTGCACGTGTGCAGTTTATTTTCCCGATTCTACAAAGTGGTCACTACTATGTTATTAGTGTGGACATGGTGCGGAAACGAATTGACATAATTGACAATTCCTCGGTTAGCATGACTAATGAGGACAAGTATGGTGGGGCTCCTGAGGTGTTGGTATGTGGTTTTTAATCATTTGTTTTTTTACCCACGGCACACTGTGTGTTTATTATGGTGGGTGGTTATCCCGCTGTTCTGTCCAATACGGCTCACACATATTTTCGTAAGTGCACACCTGTATCTTATGATGGCTGCTCGGACAGTATGGCACGCCCGTGTATACCTGTGTGCACACTCGTCTTGACCCTATTGGTGGTTTATCCATATCATTAAGTTAACCTTGTTTCGTTGTGCTCTTTTACTAGTTGCAGCAAGATTTGTTGTCTGTGTTCCTTGATGATGAGGTTGATTTGCGATATGGGGCTGTTGTAAGGAGGATTATCCCGAGAAGGATGCAGATGCGTTGGCGTGATGCTCGTAACAAAGTGGATTGTGGGGTATTTGCAATGCGACATATGGAGTCTTTTTTGGGGCAATCGGTGAATGCATGGGATTGTGGTCTACAG